AAAAAAAGATACAGGCAGGGCATCAGACTTACGCCATCTCACGCTATCCCCAGCACCGCCCTGCTCTGTCACACCAACCCTCTGCATGTCGTCCTTCAGTGCGTCCATAAATCTTCTCTGTGGTCTTCCTCTTGCCTTTTTCTTGGCAGCTCCAAATTCAACATCCTTTGTTCAAAATATCCAGTATTCCTCCTGCATCCAAACCAGCTTTTTGTCCAAACTGCTCAACCTCAACTGTCCCTCTGATATACTCATTTTACTTCAATTTCAAAATATGTGTATATTTAATTTATTTGTATTTTTTATTAATTTTTTTTTTTTTTTAATGGTCCGTCGGCCCGCTTTCGGGCCTTTTTGTCACATATTGTAATCTGAGGCAAAGGATAAACATGCATATCTGAAAGACCGTTAAAGATAAAAGCCTGAATTTTTCATTGCCCTGACATACATCAAAGTACGTGTACGTACTGGCTAGGTAAAATATGAAAGAAAAAAAATTCAAGCCAACCTGTAAAGTCTCACGTTGTGAAAGACAATTCACAAAACTGTGAAATAAAGCATGCAGAAAAGCTTTTAACATGAAATACTTCATCACGAAAGATTGAGCAAATATGACAAAAACAAAAGTATCAGTAGATTGTCGCGTCTAAATAAATCAAAAGTATGACATTTACAGGTGGGACTTTAATTACAACTCAGAAAATAATTTTGTTAAATATGTATTTTATTTTTTCCATTTTCTTCTTAAATCATCACATTTGTAAAAACATTTTCTGCATTTAAAAAATGCCTCGAAAGTTTATGTTTCAAAGGTTGAACATATGTTCTGATTGCTGTGAAATTGTAGCTTTATGTATCAAATACTTTCAAGATATATTTTGGGAGAAATGGTCCATTTATCCATTTTCAGGTCTTTTTTTTTTTGCACATTGAAATCTCAGACCATGTTTGAACACGATTATCTCAAAAGTGTTCAAAAGATAAAAGCCTACAATTTTCATTTGTATTCAAATATCTGAGTATTTACTAGTTAAAATATATTTATTTAGAATTATGGGACTATAAATAAGTCCTATAATTAAGAATCCACAAATAAAAAAAACTTTACATTGCAAAAGAAAATTGGTGACAATGTCTGAATAGTTATATTTTCCAAAAATGCAAAAGCAAACGTAGAATATTTTTGAACATGAAATTGTTATTCACAAAAATAAAGAAAATGCTGTTTTTGTTCAACTTTCATGCTGGATTGGGGAAATATAACAAGTTTTACCACAAAAACAAAATATGAGCAGATAGTTTAATCCAAACAGAACAAATCTCTGTTTTGAGTTCTTGATCATCTGATTTGAGATGGAATGACGATGTTGTGATGAAAACTTTGCAAAACCTTTGGAAATGAGAGCTAGATGGTATCATGTTTGTTGGCTGGTTTTTGCTTTTGCCTTTTGAACACAGGTAGAGTGTTTTTGTAGCACAGTTCAAACAACCTTCACTAAACATGATGCCTTTCCACCTGTTGATTCTGACTCAGAAGTCCCAAGTGGGCTGCAGAGGTAGAGCAGCTACTTTAATGTCCACTGCAATGGGACTTCTATGGGAATGAAGTGAGTTTAGTAGATTTTTTTTGCAGCTCTCCCTCATTTCGGTGATTGCTCAGTGCCTATGGCCATTGGTATAGAGAGAGGGTGGAGGTAGAGAGGGCTAAGCCTTGGACCCCACTTTACAGGATCAGACCCTGCCCCAGGTGCACATGGGAAAGCACTTATTTGCTCTTTTTTTTGTTCCATATCTCAGAATCTTTTCACTTTCTCTCTTATATCCCTTTATTTGTTCTGATTTCCCATGCAATGTCATGCACACAGCTATGTGTTTTGGGTTTAAATGAGTGTTAAGATCATTAGCTACGGTGTGGTCTGCACTCACTGCGCCCTCATCGCCATTTGAGCCGTGCAGTTTCTCTTTGATACCAGAGTTTTATTGCTGCACTAGACAATATCCCTTGATTCTGAGCTAACTGTGTTTCTCCCTGAGCTCCATAGGCAGACCTGGTACGCTCATCAAACACCAAGTTGTCTTTGGCAGCTGCTGTGACATTACTCTACCTGGTCAAGAAGAGAGAAAGTTATTCTACACCAGCTTTAAAATACAACTATGGGACTATTTTTGTCAGGCATTTGGCTCCCAGTGGAGACCACTTTTGAGGCAAACACACCTGTTTTTCTGTTGCACACTGGTCTGCATAAATCTCCAAAAATAATAGCCCACTTCTATTTTTTTTCATCCAGCTTCAAATAATACTGAAAGTCAAGCTTCCAAATGAAGACTGAATACGTGTGCGTTCACCATCAGTCAGCCTGCTGTTCTATGTGTCTCGCAGACGATATGAAGTGGCTCAAAATAAGCTGCTCCGAAGGAAACGAGTTAAAAACTGACAGATATCAATGTTTACATCTTTGGACAGGGCATCAGAGCTTCATCACCACCATAAATTCTTGGCTGGTGTTAGGATACCATGCCCAAAGGCCAAAAAATGTCTGCCTCAGGTGATACGATGTGACCCTGCCCTGTTAATCCTGTTGAAGACCAGCTCGAGTGCCGGTGCTCACAGGGACAGCAGGATCAGAGTGCCTACAGCCAAGGTGGGACTTAATAAAGACATGGACCGCTGTCACATGCAACTGAAGCAAAAAAAATCTTAAGGCGTGACACATCACTAAAATGGAGCCGAACAAAGAGAGAAACGAGGTGTAATTTTAAAAAGTAAGTTACCTGCCAGCAGCTGTCACATTATTTTTGCTTTTTATTACCGCCCGTTTACCAGCTAAAAGTGCAGAGAGTGAGAGGTTTTGTCCAAGTTGTCAGGAGGCTGCTTTTGCAGCGGTATGTCAGCTCAGTGCATCCCTCTTCAGCTCAATATGTCTTCTGGCCTTTCTCCTCCGCTCTCTGCCTCCCACCCCACCCTCTTCTCCCCGCATATGGGATTCACATTTGGCTCCACTGACCGTTTTCTTAATGTGATATTATGATACATTATCTGAAGCCATTTACTCCCTGTCACCGCCTCTCGTGTGGACACAAGCCGAGTTAAGCCAAGGAGAGGCTGAGTCCAGGTGAGTTATGACCATTTAATTTGACACCATTCACAGCCGGCCCGATCTTTTACAATGCCTGAAAGTGCAATCAAAACACAAACACAAGACACTTACGTGTGCTTCTCGCTCTCACTCTCTAGGAGCCCATTGGTGGCATATAAGTTTTCACCCCCACCTCCTGCTGCTGGTTGTAAATCGCCTCTGTCGAAGGTGTATTTGTGCGAGAGAGAGAGGGAACAGAAGGTGAGAAATTTGGGGGTCAGCCGAGGCCTTCCAGGTAATTGTGCTTCTTAAACTTTTGACCCTGTAAGCCCTGCTTAGTGTGCTGCAGCTCGCGCCCCTTATTTCCCCTGAGAATTTTTACTCCCTGTACCAAGGACATGTTCGTGTGCGCTACAATGACAATCTGAGCACATGCTGTCACCAAACACGTGTTATTCTTTTACACCTTTTTTGGGGGGCCATGAACTCGTTACTTATTTCATGAGGCGATGAAAAATGGCACGAGCTTGTCCCTTAATAGGCTCTGCCTCCCTGTGCCTGTGTAAAAACTGTGAAATACCCTTTTCCCTCTGTATCCCAGTACCACAAACACATCAGTTAGTTGTCATATTTCTGATATTTCTCTATCCAGAAATGCTGAAAAGGAAGCGAGGTCACTGACGTAATCGACTGCAATAATCAGGCGACTGTTGTGCACGCAGCCTCAGAGAATATATAACTTTCAGGGCAAGCCTCATTATTTGCCTTCTCTTCACAGCAGTGTGCCCCTTTAATATTTCCAGGGTCTGTCTGTCTTCATATTGAGCCGCTTGAGAATGATGGATGAGGTTATTACAGTTGGATCCACTCGGGGCTCTCCTATATTGCAGTTTGTTTTCATCATTTCTAAACATACAACTGGCTTTAGGTTTGTGCTCATATTTCCCCTCCCCTCCGGGTTGTGTGTCTGTGTTTTAAACACAGAGTGATTTTTGGCAAATAAGTCCTTCATTCGGTTATGATTTGGCGCTTTTCATAATGTCTCCTTTTTCAATATATTCAGCGTATGTGTAGCTTTGCTTTTCTAGCAGAAGTAAATGGTATCTCAGAGTTGCAATCCCAAATATGCTTCTCTCCTTCCCCTTCCTTCCTCCCCTCCAAACCACCACCACACCTGCGAACCCCTCCGCCCCTACCCCCTGTGTCACGGGGGGGGGACGCCGCGTGAAGAGGAAGGGCCGCAGGGGCCAGTTGTTTTTAAATAAACTAAATCTGCTAACAGTTTTATAACCCTGACCTCGTAAAAAACTGGCTGCAGCTTTTGGTCAGCTCTCTCCTGATGGGGCAAGCAGAGTCGTTCCAAGCCTGGAATTCCCATTTGCCGCTGCGGAGCATGTCGGTGCGTCAGCTGGTGTGCCTGCGAGAGAGAGGGAAGAGGTAAAAGGGCGTATGATATACGATTGCTGTGTCACGATCCACATGTGATGAGCGTCCTCACAGGCGGGGAGCATCCAGGCTGCTCCCTCTGTCTGGTGATTTCCCTGTTAAAGAAAAGTAAGGGAGAGGGGGGCAAGGGAGGGAGAAAGAGAGAGAAAGCAGAGGTGAGAGAGAGAGAGAGAGAGGGAGGAGAGAGGAGCGCTCAGACAATCAGTGTGTGTCTGTGTGTGTGTAAGTGAGAGAGAGAGAGGTAGAAACAAGAGGAGAGAGGAGCTGGCTGGGAAACAACAGTTGAACAACAAATCCAGTGTTGCATGCAGCCTCTCCGGATACCTCTGCTGTCTTTCTGCTGCCGGTCACTGAAGGTAAGACCATCAGCCTGGGTATCACACCTCTGAATCTGCACTCCTGCAGATTTGGGTGCATCCTGTTGTCTTTTTTTATAACTCTGTGCGCTGCAAATGTAGTCAATCAAACTCTGTATCAGGCATGCCATCGAGGATCCAAGTATTCACTGCTATACCCTGGATGTGTTTCACGTGTGTGCATTTTTACGTAGCTGTACGTGCATCACACATGGGCTCGCTCAAAGAGAGTTTGAGTGACACTCCTGCTCACTTTTTTTTTCTCCCCCCCTACTCCTCCCTTCCTCTGTTGCACATCACTAAGCTCAGGTGTGCATTCCTGTTTTACTGCAGGGCAGTTCTACACCGTGTGAGTCCATAAACTGCAAGTGGTTGTGATTAGGACGCAGTGTGACATGATTTGTAATAAGAGGAAACATGTTTGTGTTGGCGCCGGTGGATTTGCTAATCAGGCACTGACAGCGAGGCTGGAAGGACAGTGGGAACCCGCGTGGCTTGCGGGACATTAATAGTGCGTTAATAGTGAACATCTCCGGAGATGCATGAATATGTGTTTTACAGGTGTGTGCGTTCATGGCTGTAAGTGTATGATTGACTTGGCCTGTTATGTTGGACCCCGAGGCTGCTGGCTTATGCTAGAAGTACATGATGACAGATACAATAGACTCTGTGGTAGGTAGGAGGAGGAGGAGGAGGCGAGCTACCACTTTGATTTGACTGAGGAGGAGAGGCGTGTGTGTGAGAATGATAAAGGGAGAAGGTGTTTAAATGAAAAATGAAGTGGCTACAAAAGAGTGTGGGATAATGTGAGTGGGGTAGGAGAAGAAGCCCAAGTAGGAGGAAAGGGAAAAAAAACATCTGAGAAAGAAAGAGACGGGCAGAGCCAGGAGGAGGACACAATAAATAGGAGAAACAGAATGAAACTGAGATGTGTGAGAGAGGCTGAGAAAAGAAGGGCTGGAGGAGGTGAGAGTGAGAGAGCATGACACAAGACGGGGCAGAAAAAAGAAAGCGATTGAGACCGTGTGATGCAAACAGCCCTCCAGACATCTCCGTCCACTTCCGGTGACACCAGATGAGAAACAGTTTGCGCGGCAACGAAAGAGGCGCCGCAGACACTGAGAATCACCTCTGAACTGTTTGGGGAAGAGAAAAAGGCGAAGACGAGGAGTAGGAGGTGTGTTTGAAACACTGCACATTCAGCCAGGTGCAGATAGACAGCAATACTCTGGCAGAGCAGCACACACTTGGTTTTGTGTCTCATGTTTCATATTCTCTCTCACACACACACACACTGGGGCCCATTGTGAGTATATTTATTTGGACAGTGCTGAAGCTCTGATAGGCAGTTCACAATGTCTCACTGCCACAGGAATGTGCTTCTGACAAATGGATGCTCTACACGAACCTGAGGCCATCAAGGGGATCCTTAACACCAACCACCCAGACGAGCATGTGGCAGATATCTGCTGCCCAAAGAAACCCGGTCCAGAGCGATAAAACAAATGCGTCCACGACTCCTTTCGCTCCCTCTTTTTCAAAAACGTCTTAGGCCTGGAGCTGCATTGAGGATTGATCTAGTTACATGCGCAGCTTTTTTAGCCCACAGCTCACCACAGCTTTTCTTTCCCCCCACTTCTTTCTGACACGGATGGAGAGAACAGCAGAGGAGATGGAGTTGGGATTTGAGGTGCATGCGTGTTGACTCAGGAAGATTAGGGGGTTCTGTTTTTATCAAAGCGGTCAACAAACAGCTCCCACACTCTGGTTAAATGAGAAGAAAAAGAAACTGGAGAATATTTACACAAATGCCTTCCCTGTGTATTCTCCAATCTCAGTGCCTCTTATTTCCCACTGTTTCTGAGAAGCCTAAATTGTAAAGCTAACACAAGATTAGCTCCAGCTCACACGGCCGCCTGTCATTGGCTGTACAGTGCTCTCAAATCCACACTGTTTGTCTTATCTTTACTTGGGGGGAGGGGGGGATATATATTTAGTGAGGAGCTTAGCTTTTAGGAGAGTGGCGCGTGGGGAGGGTAAGAGAGGGTGAATGTGTGTGTGTTTTAGACAGAGAGGAAGAGTAAGTTTGTGTGTGCGTTTTGAGAGCTGGCGTCAGTAGACAGTGGAAGAGCTTGGCACTCTGCATGCCAAACTGTGTGTGTGTGTGTGTTTGTGTGAGTGTGGTTGGACAGGTCTTTGGTTCTGTACACCCCCACCCCCCCTCACTTCACTGCAGTCAGGAATCTGCCCTTTAGTTTATTAAAAGCTGGTGAAACAATGGAGGGGGTGAGGTTGGGGATGAGGGCAGGTGGTGGTGAATAGAAAATCATGACGTAAACTCTGGGCATGATACAGAGCCGTGGCAGATCAGCAGCGAGGGTGATGATGTAGCAGTAAATGTAGGAGAGAAGGCAAGATTGAGTTATTCATGACAGATCATAAAACAACCTTTTCCCCCGCTCTACCTGTCACCTCGCCCTCACTCCATCTCCTCCATCGTCCTGTGATGCACCTGTTTTTCTCAGCAGGGCAGTGGGGGCTTAATACCCGAGCTCCCCATTGTGACTGCAGACAGGCCCATCACTGGACAACAACTGTGTACTCAGCTGCCGCCAGGCATAGGTGATAAAGCAGAGGATCCCTCAGATCCCGACTCCTCTACCCAGGCCATGTGCCGTCACACACCAACATCCCAGCAATGTTCAGAGCCCCAGAGCAGGAGCATAATAACACCCACGAGAATACCACATGACACAGCCCTTATGTACATATGTGAGGGTTTGTGTGTGTGAGATGAAAACCCATAAGTAAGGTGGGCAGGGGATATTTATACTTGCACCCCACTGCTAAGAAGAAAACATGGTAACAAGTATTGTGCAATTCTGTTCCACACAACATACACTGGGGCGTCAGCGCAGTGTCACTTTTCATAACAGATTTTTGAGATAACGTAATTGTTTCACTTGTACCTCTTGAACAAAAGTTTTCATTATGACTTGTGTTTGTGTATCTTAGAGCAGTGGAAAACAGGGAAATCAGTTTTTGCTGTCACTGATCTGTGTGAACTGATCGATTGCTTGGTTTTATAAATGGTAAGAAAATAATGAAAACTGTTCACCACAGATACTCCAAAAGTAGTCAAAAACCTGAAGCAGATCTGGCCTGCCTGTATTTCAGACCCATCATGATCGGTCTCTGTATCCCAGGTGAGCGTGGGGAGGCATCTTTCCCACAGTAGCCTCTAAGAGAGGCATCACAGTGTCTGCACTTCTTAAGCTTGGAATTATCTTCTCATAACTAGCTGAAGCCAAAACCTTCAGACCACACAAACTGTGGGGCTGTGTTTGTAGTAATGTGGTTTGGATTCCCACATATTATATATTTAACCCAGTTTGGATCTCTTTGCAGGTCCAGAGCCCTTTTTTAAATTAGCCGCCCTTTGGCTATGCTGTGCTAAAGTTATATAAAAATGAAGGAGAGTTTGTTTAATTTGATTTGTTCTATGACAGATGATATGTCTTTTTATAAGCAATAAGCACAGATCTAGATAGGAGTTACAGTGCAAATAATACATGCTGAGTAATAATTTCGTCTGCCTCTGGGCCTCCAGCTTTGGCACTCTTATTAGTTTCTGAGTACTGGGAATTTCACGTTGGTCAGTTGAAGAGGAAAAGAGATTGCTTTAGATTTGGAGGCCTTTGTGCTAAATTACTGAAGTCCCAATTTGTTTAAGTAAGACCTGAAGCAGTGGACGCACTCTACCAAATCACACCAACAGGTGCTTTATATTGTAAGGTACACCCTACAATAATACATACAGAGAAAAAATCAGTGGGAAGGAAAAACTCCCTTTGGTGGACATCTGCCGCAACTGGTTGGGGTAAGATAGGTAAAGGATAAATAAAGGTAATGGATAATTGCCATTTACCTGGTATAGGCCAAAGAAGCAGGATGTTCACGAAGAATCTAAAGCTAAAACTATTAGCTTTTTGCTAAATGATTTTACAATCATTTCTTAGTAACTCACTGTCATCTCAGGTCTGTCAGGCTCTGAATTTCTCCACGTGAATGATGTGAATGAATTTGTAAAAAGAATGTCATGTTTCAATAAAAGGGTTTAGAGTGTGCTTCCTTACTTCACAAGTCAAAGCGTACATTCATGACGCTGCATTTTCACCTGACCCCATGAACTCAGTAGCTCGTAGAACCACCTTTAGCACTAATAACGTGAAGTAATCCATTTCCCCATAGCTTTATCAGACTCTCACATTGAATTCTGGCACACTCTTCTTTTCAATGTTGCTTCAGTTCATTGAGGTTTGTGTGCCTTTGTTTATACACAAGTCTCTTAAGGTCCCACCACAGCATTTCATTTGGGTTGAGGCATATACACAGGCGTTCATGGTTTACTCAGTGACTGTAAGGTGCCCAGGTCACGTGGCTGTAGAACAAACTCAAACCATCACCCCTCCACCACCATGCTTGGCATTTGGTATGAGATGTTTGTGCAGATATGCTTCACCAAACGTGGTGCTGTGCATCACGGCCAAACATCTCCACTTTTGTCTCGTCTGTCCAAAGAACATTGTTCCAGAAGTCTCGTTTTTCATTCAGGTACAGCTTTGCAAACCTAAGCTGTGGTGCCATGTTCTCTACAGAGAGAAAAAAGGCTTCAGGCAACATTTCCAAGTAAGCAATACACATTAAGGCTTTTTATAATCGTAATTTTTGAAACTACTAACGTTGGCAGTATAATATAAACTAAGTAGCCATTAAGTTTATATCTAAGACCTCTTTTACGCGCCAGCTGTACACATTAAAGAGTTAGTTCTAAGCAGTGTATTCAACTTACTTGTTTAACCATCTTAATTAAGGTAACATATTAAACAATTTAATATGTTGTAACTGTACTTAGTTGAAAGTTCTGTCTTTATTAGTGGTGGTCTTAACTCAATATATACATAAAAAAATCACCCCACAACTCTATCGTTCTCCTCTTG